CTGCTAGGAAATAAATTCCTTATTTCATTCTGCCTGTGTGCATAGCTTTGCTTCTTGTATTAAACGGTCTTCATCCTGACCCAAGTTTTCTACTTTTGTCTCGATTCTGCCYACCATCCTACTGGGGCAGTAAAGTGTATGAGCAATGGTGAGGGGGCTCACCTGCTGGTAGGGGCCAACCCACCACAACAGCCCAGGTTTGAATTCACTCACTTCAGTAATTCAGTCAGACAACACCAATTAATTCACATACGGTATTTAGATTTCAGATACTCAAGTTTATTATAGACTTAACACAGTAAAACATAGTATAAAAGAAAGTAGATTGCAAAGTCCTCACATCATGGAATGCCAATAGTTACAAAAATTGAAGTCATATCCTTGAAAATACATGAAAGCTAGTGGGAAAATATGGTGAGMTAGAGGGAAAACTTGTGGGAGACAGGGAAGAAGGGGAGAAAAATATTGTCAGTTAAAAAAAAATATATACGTGATCCAAGCTTTTTAAATAGAAAATTTAATATCATTCTTTCAGTCAGACAATCCTGTCTAGAAACATATATTCATAATGAAGGTAACTCCAGATTTGGAACCTCTGAATAACAAGATCCCTTGCCCCAGTCAGCTTACATTAGCAAAGTCCCGTGTCCTACAAGTCACTCCAAAATATCCTTTGACTTTTAGAGTGTTTGTCATGCTTAAGTGGATAGATTGTTTGCTACACAGTTACAAGAACATCTTAAGTTACAAAAATAGTTATCACTCATTAGTATTTCTATACATATCTCAAGCTATCTGTACAKYGGATAACAGTAGTTAAATTTGCTTCCTTAAAACAAACGAACTAAATCGCAGTCAGTCAGACCCAAAGCACTCAGGCACCATAATACACTCACATGTGTGGTACTAAACATGCAAAGCAAAAGCAGTTTCAGTACCCAGGACACATATGCATCCAGGCTGTAGGACCCTTGTGATGGGTGGTGGAAGAGGAGAATATGAGCATCAGGACGTTACTCCCTCTGAACAGTCTCCCACTGCATTGCAGGCTCCACACCAGCTGTGCAGATCCCATGCAGACTCTTATTCCTGGCCAACAGGCCTGCCTACCCATGGAAAACCAGATTTACATGGCAAAAGCTGTAAGTAGCAGAAYTACCCCAAAATAACCCTCTGATAATGATCAGAATTCCCAAGCTAAACATAAAATACGAAGGTGACTTCTAAAGTGGAACAAACACTGGATGTTTGCCACAGCCAAATTACTGTTCTCAGTATTTTTTGGTTGGGATCTACTCCTTGYTCCCCAGGCTAAAAGAAAAAGTCTTTTTGGCATGAGCAGGGCCATCATTAACAAATATTTTGCTGGTTGCAAGTAGTCCACTGCTGAAATATACTGGCTACACTTGCATTATTTATCTTTCCCTTTCAATAGCGGAAAGCCTGGAAACATTACTAGGGTTGTGGCATTTTGTTAGACAGGCAAGTAAAAAATTTAATTCTTACAGGTACCAATGCTAGTCTTACTCATCTCTGAACTCTCAAGTCCAGTTCAGCTGACGTTAAGCTTACTGTAGCAGCCCAAGTCTGAAAAAAGTCACCCATTTCAGAAGGTGTTGTCTGTGAACAGACAGATGTCCTGCTATCGATTTGGAGGGGTGGGAAGMAAAACAAAACCACAACTACCACCCCTCAAAAAAAAGGAGGAAAAAAATGCTTAATGCTGAATAAGAAATAACACTATTTTTCTTTTAACATTTTCTGATTACAGAAATTTCTCTCATACCACTCCAAGCACCATCCTTTCCATCATGAGGGCACAACACTTCAGTCAGGTTAAAGACCCTCATGATTTAATCCAAGCACTTAAGAGATTCTGTGTCAAAATGATTCCCTTTATGTACCACATGCTAAAAAGCCYAGCCATGTTTGCAATGTACTACTATGAAAAAATATATTCACTTGCAGAACTTCAAGGACAATTTGAAGCAAAGTCAACTAAAGAATGTACTCAAATCTGCCAACATCAGGCYGCAAAACATAAACACTACAATGTTAATATCAAGGTCATGCACACATCAGAAGTGCATTAAGAACTTCAAAGTTATACCACAGAAGAAAAAGATACTTATGGTTTGTCTTCACAAAAGATTCAGTAACCATCTCCTAAACATCAAGATGAGTAAAGAAACTTTATTTAAAGAATGAGCTTCTACAGGCTTTTTCCCATACCAGGAATTCAAGAATTCAAGTCAGGTATTTCATCTTTTAGTTAGAGCGATTCCCTTTAAATCTCTCCAAATAGATATTTGATGGTTAAATCTTTGATGGTTTAGATCTAGGAAGGTTATTCATTCATTCTTTYATTTTTAAAGCAATGCATTTAAAATGTACAATAATTTTGTTCTCCAATGGCCAAATAGTCAACATTCCCATGCATTTACGTGTTCCATATGTATGTAATTTAAGTTAAAATTTTGAAATTTTACAGTTATTCTAAACAGAATACATTAAGCTGATTTTCAATAATGCCATTACAGTGCAACACCTGGACTATATTTCTTACTGTTTTAAGAAACAACTAACAGAGCTTCCATTTTAAAGTGCAACAGGTTTTGGTAAAAGAATTGCTACAAAGTATTCAAGTGAAAAGAATTCTATTAGAAATAAACACACTGCAATGTCACTATAAAGGTATTTGATAGTATTTGAAGACTAGGGGAAGTTACAAGTGAAATATGAATCACTTCAGAAGACAAACAAGATAAACCAGGAAAAAAAAATATCATTTTTCAAGCTGACTTTCTGGAGAGAGTTGTACTTATTGATTTACAACTGAACTGAAAGGTTTGCCTTTTAATTTTAAAATCAAGATAAAATGAATGTCAAGGAAAAATGAAAGGTCTGACACTTGGATCTATACTGATACCTTGTCCACAAAGTTATACAAATTAATAGTGAGTTCCCTTGTTCCCTTAGCATGTTTCCAAGGTCAGTCACATTAACCAAGTCTAAGTTAAATATTCACACAGATGTTTACTTGCTTATCTGATGTTATATTAAAATTAGTAGACAAACTGAAATTCTAGCTTTATTTGGTTAGTAATATGCTGACAGTTGTGCAAGGGCATACTAGCACTTGGAAACTTAAGCCTTTCATTCTCCTGTTACAACTTAATTTGAGAATCAGTAGGATCTTTAACCCCCAGTTTATTTTTTAAGATGAGAACTCTTCATCATTCAGTAAGTCAATCACAAATTGATGGTGTTAGAGATACCCTAGATAACAAAACCCAAGTTTTATCTTCCCCCTTCTGACACACACAAAGAATAATTCTACTCAATTCTTTAATTTAAATCAGCAAGTATTGCTTTCGATCAGCGTGTCTACCAAAATTTCAAAAATCAGTTTGAGTCTCCACAACAGTTCATAAAGTTTACCTCCCCCCTGCCTGCCATGCTTGTTCAAATGCAGCACTCACTACTTTCACCAAGTAATGTTATCATTTTGCCATTCCAGTTATTTTACATTACCTTTCATCCTTGAAAGAAACATTTGTTTTAAATCTATATAACTATCTGCCTATAGCAGTTTTCTTCTTCTATATTAAAAAAAGCACAAACAACAACCCCCAAACAAAAACAACACACTTGTGTGCAAATATTTAGGCCTAGAAGAAAAAAGCTTGTGTCACTTGCTGGCAGACTTCAGATCTGACAAGGTTTAAACCAGAATTCTCTCCCTACCCTCCATTATCAGCAAATCTTTCTACAACGGGCAACGTAAGTTTACCCCTCTGCTTCTACCCAGCTACCAGCTCTCCTTGTCTTTAATTACCAGCTGCATCTTCCCAGGCTATCAGACAAGTTTATGCATGCATTTTAGCAGCCACAGGACTGAACCTCATCTAAATTCTAGAAAGGCAAGTCAATTGTGAACTAGTTTCCCTCATGACTGAAAGTTGTAATAAAGAATGTTTACTTTTAAGGGCCCAAASTCAAGAATAATTTTCAGAATATAATTACAGTAAGTCATCTGAATTGACTACTCCAGTTACAGAAGTTCTCTAAAGGCAAAAGCTGWAATCTTCATCTTATCAACAACTATATGAAACTGACAGTTCAGGTTCCAATAACAATTCATTTTTCATAGCAATTCAAATAGAGGAGGGTGGGGGTTTATTACGGTTACTCAATGCCTTTTAAATCAGTCTCACATGACCCACATCCTTTTCCCTACCCATCCCCTTAGGTCCCTCCAAGAGAGGCCAGTAAAGAAAAGAGTAATGTGGACATGTATCTTCACTGAAGTACTGGAGCATCAGAGATTGTTACTGGCAAGTCACTCTGAGCCTTTTTCCATAGTGTTAATTGCCAATTMATTTTGTGTAGCTTATTTCCAGGAGACAGGCAGCATAAAACCAGTAATATCTGTTTCTAAAAAATACATTATTCATTACAATGCAACAGTCTCACCAGTACTTTCTTACAGCTGCAGCTTACCTAATTCAGAAATAAAACAATCCTGATCTACCTAATTAAAAAGTTAACCCTTAGAAGAGTCAGCCTTCAGGAGCCAAACAACTTTGGACCCAAAGTTTATAATCATCATGATTGACAATTACCCCAGAAATGTGCAAACTATGCTACAGGAACTATTTCATGCTATCAGTCAGTAATCTCACAATTACATCAGCATTTATTCCTACAGAAAGAATTGCTTCATCTTCCCTTACATAACCTTGATGTGACCTTTGAGTGCTCTGGAGGTACAGGTAACTACTGCATTTGCTTACTGAGCCTGTGCAAGGAACAAACACGACCCAACATACTAACATTTAAAAGTTGCTTAGATACGTAAATATTAAAACARTAAAAATCACAAAAACTTACAACAAGCTCTTCAAACCCATGCTCAAAGCTTCTCACCTAGTTCCAACTGCACAATTGATTTTAATACCTGTTCTAAAAAGTTTACGGAAAAACAGACCGTAAATGACTTCTTCATTTTCTAGAGTCTTGTATTTTTTTTCTGTCAGTAATTGTTCTGGGATTGTTTTTTTGTTTCACTTTAAACCAAACTTTAAATGTACCAATACACATTCTCCTTATAATATCCCAGAGGTAGCAAGGGGGGAATATGAATGAAAAGATGCCAGATTCTAGAAATCACACACTCAACTATTGTGTCATCCAAGACTTTTCATTTCCTGACTTTCATAGACTGCATGTCACTTCTAATCGTGGATAGCAAATAAAGCATAGAATCCCAAAATAAAGAACTATTGCCACTGGGTTACTAATAGAAGTTTCACACCCAAAGTAATCTTGTTATTTAAGTAGTAATACCGCATTTTTGACAGTCAAATATCAAGAACTGAAGAATAAACTTAAAATTTATAAGTAWTATTTTTTAAAAATGCTCATTAGTGACACATTTCACCTAAACATAGACATACACATGGTTACCCTAAATTGATGTACCACACWGTAAAGAAAAGTCCCAGTTCTGTTCAAGAATCTGATATTCCCCCTCTCCCTCCCACCACACAACTTGACAGAAGTGCTTACGGTAACAGAAAGCAAACAGAAGGGGAAAACACAACATTTAACAAGTGCACCTATTTACAATTTGCACCTCTCCCTCCTTGCATCTAAAGTGAACAGGTCTCCATGTCTGTTTGCTRTGCTGTACATTGCATGTACTCTCTGCTCCATGTAGTACCAGTTCTATCCAAAGGATTTCTGCAAGCACCAACAGCAGTCATTCCACACCAACCAACAGGTGCCTTTACTGTGGAGGCTGAAGGACATTTAAATATTCTGACTGGCCCAGCTGGTAGGTCGTGTTTCCTCCACAGTCCACATACTGGTATCTCTCCTGGGATATTTGCTCAGGGTGGCCTAAGTACGAGGTTGTCACYGTCACTCTTAAAAAGACAGAAAAAATTTTGAGCTTCCTATTTTAAAAATCACTGGGTTTATATTACTATGGTTATTAAGGAAAACATGTTGGAACAAAATATGTTTTAAATAAATTTAAGAACATTACTAATTTACCACTATAGATTTTCTCCATGAAAGACATTTGGTTCTTTTTTCTAAAGATGCTAAAGCTGAGGTTTACTTGTAATATCCCCCACCACAAATAATATCTTGTTTTGTGACAAGAAAGCAAATGATTAAACAAGCTACAAGCCATGCTACATCTAGTTTAAACATCCCCCACCCCCCAACGATAGAAGACCCTGCCATGCTGAAATTTATGCAATGGTACAAAAGGCAGTCTCTGACACAGTACTAAAGCCTGTGACTCCTTCAAGATCAAAGATCTCAGCAAGTTTTTACTAGTTGATACATAAAGTCATTTAAAAGTTTTTGAGAMATCAGTAGCTCCACCTCAACAACCCAACAGCAAAGCAGATACAGTAACCATGATTCTGTTTAATCCTGTGTCTTYACACCACCAGAAACTGTCAAAAGCCACAGTTAATTCTCCATAACTATAAAGCTACTACACTAGAAAGCAAGCTGATTTAATTTTATCTCTGATGCAAAGACTCCAGGATTAAGTACTTGAGTATTATTTCAGTAATACTTGAGTATTATTTCAATGAGAATTCCATGGCTTCTAAAGTTGTTTTCAATACATAGGAAGACTACCATACTTACTGCATCATCACTACTATGTTATGTACTTTGATAGATGGTAAAGTACAGAAGTCACTGCAAAAAGAAAAGAACAATTGTTAAGATTTACATCAAACTTTTCCAGGGTAATTATATAAAAAGCAAGACTTGTGGCTTCAACTGAAAATTCTACTGTCTGTGTACACAGAGACTACAGAGTTGGTAGCAATGGCAACAGAATCCTTTGCCAGTGACTGWATGATCACCTAGACCTACTTYTATATACATWWAATTACTCTCACAGRTACTATCTKCACATGTGCTTGCTTTCATGYAATGCTTGCCAAAAGAARYSTCYTGAGAAAGTGTTCRCTCTRTCTTCCAGAAGCTMACCAAAGTTAACCTGAGCCACTGCAGTTAAAGCCTGACAATACCACTTTGTCACCTTTCTTTGGTACTCATCCACTTCTGTATTAYCCAAAGTAACCTTTAACCAACATACAAAGATTCCARAGTCAAGGTTATTGTTCTCTTACRAGACAACCTTTTCAGACTCTCATTTTATGACACACACCTACATATCAGTGTAAAGAGCACCATGTAAGTGCATACTTTTAACTTCTGCTTCTTAAATTAATGCTCTTGGTCACAAGTTTATCAGCTCTAGAATGAAAWACAYGTGATCAGTYCAGTAAGATTGCTTGRYARCCACATACAATATTTGCATGCCACTGTCATTCTTTCCCCSTGCACCAACAAAAATAAGATACAGCGTTAAACAGTGAGTGAACACAGTTCAACCAATCTGTAAGAAAACAGAGTATTATCATGAGTTCTATGAAGACTATTTATGAAGTTTATTTACTCCTCATGCATCCAAAGAGTGACCAGATTCACAGGATTCAGTGTTTATATGAAGCTAACTTATGTACTTCTAAAAGGTGACAGGAGAGGTTCARCACTTTCTGTTAAAGTTGTGCCTCTCTTGCCATTTCATACTCATTTCAACTAATTTCAACACTTCAAAGAAATAAGGTTTTCTTCCACCCCAAAGGGGCTGGCATCCACTAGAACTGCACACACACCTGAAGTCTCAATACTTAACTCTTTCTGTTCAGTCTGCATCTCAGTGTAAGAGAACTAAAACAGGAGCTTCATTTACCGAGATATAATGAGCTAAGAGTYTGTTGGACAAATGAACTTTCAGACACTGAATAAAACTGCTCAAAGGGCAGGATGTGAACACTGCTTACCATTGAACTCATAAGGTTTGAAGAAAAGAAATACAAATTAGTGTCTAATTTGCATATCGCTACATAAAGATTTCCTTCCACTGCAGAGAAAGTTGTGGGAAAGTTACTAGAGAACTTGTTAGGGGAAYACACCCACCCTTTCACTTCCTAAAGCAGCAGTCCTAGCTAATGCCAAGGCCTAAAATACTGGAACAAAGACACCTTTTAAAGGGCTTATAGCCAGGTACAGCAAGCTACAATGTGAAACTAATCAAACAATTATAGTTTACCTATCTTTCAGTACTATTAAAGAAAATGCCCCAACATCCTTTCAAATTTCTGCTAACTTTGAAAAAGTTGTTTTTATCATCCCTGCAGCTTTTAATAAGACCCATGTGATATTTAGAGGTGAGTACACTTACAACATGTAGCTCATTTCATCTTGTATGACTGTGGGCACCATGTAATCAATCTAGGAAAAAAACACAATTAAAAAAAAAACAATGAAAACACAATTAAGTAGATTTATATATGAAGATTAACRTGTTCAACTTGGAAAGTCTATGCTACTTACCTGTTTCATATCCAGYGGACCAATGTTGGTGATGTTGTTCAACCGTGATTTGCCAATAACTGTTTTTGAAAACTGAACTTGGGCTGTGATATTTGCCACTTCAACAGAGTAATAGTTGTTATTCGTTATATTTAATGTGTTCTGAAAAAGCAAACACAAAACATTAACAGCTATCCATTCATTCTGTGTATCTTGATGAGCAAGCACTTTGAAACTTGTGCAAGAGACAGTAATATCTGAAATGCAAATTTTCCTGCCTTCTAGATTGCAGAGAGGAGTGGGCTCATGGACCATCACTTACCTCCTTTATGGGTTTGTTTAGTGAATATATTGAGCAACACAAACTTCTATACAACTCCCCTAGTAACAACCCTCCACTACAAAGACTGCATTTCTTCCTCAATTATTCCTTCCATTAAATGTAGCTATCACAAGACCCCTTTCTCCCATGGAAGTTTTGCTTTATTTAAAATTAAGAACTGTACCAGAAGTCTTTAGGCAATCCTGTATCAAGTACATCACCAAGAAATCAATCAATCTGGGAAGAGCTCCTTTAAGTTTTAAGGTAGACAAGGAAGTATTTTTCCTCAATCCCAATTCTGACAGATGCATAAGAAGAGGGCAGTAGCAAACAGCATTCCTACATACACATACTACCTCTCAGACATATTCCAAAAGTAATGCTATGAACCCAAAGTCACTGCTCCCTTGAAAACAGAAGACCCAGTGTCAGCTTTCAACTACACCTTTGTTAGCTATAGCTACAGGAGCCAGCCACAGCAGGCCCAGTTACATTTTTCAAACTGGTCACCAATTCTGTTTTTAAGGCATCCAATAAGCTTTTCAGCCAGACCACAGTTTCTATGTACATTAAACTRTCACAGCAGTACCTCCTATTGCATTTATGCATTAGAAACACCCAAACAGACAGCCAGACTTACCGTAATATTTAGATAGATTATCCGCCTACCCTGTTCGTAAGTGACATATACTGACTTCACACCAATGTACTCAACGTCAATTGAGCGAGGAAACAAGAAAAATACAGCCAGCCCAGAAAGGAGCAAACACACAGTTACAGAAGCAGTCACATAGAGCTTTCTGGAGGGAAAAAAAAAAAAAAAAAAGCACATTTCAGAGTCAAAAGCACTTTAAACAACAGTGACATGCCATTTTCTTTTAAGTGATAAGGAGCAGCACTAGTCAATACAAGTAGTTCTATTTCTATCTCTAGCTTCCATTAGCTTCTAAAAGGGGGAAAAAAAACCCTGTGCTGCACTTCACAGCTATGTCTTAAACAGCTGTTACTCTTGTATATACATCAGAAATCACATTTCAGATCATGTGGTTATCCYGACATTTGTAACTTGCAGAGGAAAATAGAAGAGGTAAATATTTATGTGYTTTGAAACAAAACCACTTCCTCTTAACATTTATTTATAGCACAACTTCTGTCATTTTGTGGAAGTCTCACAGAACACACCCAGAACACAAAATAAAGCTCTTATGACAGGTAATACTGACTTCCAGGGAAAGTGTTAGGACTTCAGCTAAGGAGCTGAAGAGAAATTCACAATTAAACTAATAAAAACCAGTGTGTTTGTGTGGGTGTGGCCATGTATGTGTGCATAAGGAGGGTGGGGTGGGAGTAGGGGTATGAAAGATAATAAAAAACTCTCTACAAATAAAAGGCTCTACTTCAACTCAAATTTTGCCAAAATTAGAAAGCTACAGTAATATGTTTCAAATTTGTAATAGCATTTCATTAGATACATTATCCAGAATAGTATTATGTGAAGCTATTGTGTCTTCTTTTTCCTGGCATTTGTCTCCGTTTACAACAAAAATACCAAAATGTTAAGAAAAAAACAAAGCAAAAACCAAAACATATCAAAACAAGAAGCCCTGAGCATTGTAGTGAAAACCCTAAGTAGATCCTAGAAAAAAAAATTAATAATGCTGTATCAGAAATTGTTGATTTTGCTAACTGCAAAACACAGAATGTTACAAATGAATTTTAGGTGACTTATTTTGTAGTAGTGGCTCAAAAACACACTAACTCAAACTCTAACAGTGAAGACATGTCTGCTTAGACTAATTAGGCTGCTACAGAGATTGAGAAATGCAGATAAACATGTTCATGAATAGGTCATACAGTATTACTTAGCTAAGATTTACTGTGATGGAAGTATGTACACCTGTTAATAAATATCTCTCCAAGAGATTAAGGCTGATATTACCCACAACCCTACTCTTCCAGTACTGAATGTAATAAAGCATTCCAATGATTTTTGTTTGATTCTTCCTATTGCTATCTTCTTTGAATTGTTGAATTTTAACTAGAAGACAATAATTAACTGTCAACTCAGGTATCACAAATAACTATTAACTTACGTTCTTCTTGGCCTCAGTCGCTGATCACTGTATGGAATTAATGCTACCAGCTGATTTTCCTGCCCTGGAAACAAAAACACCCTTTCAGAACTTAAACAAAGAATAARTGTTGTTGCAGCTCTTCTACACAAAGAGTACCTATTATAACTTTATGGCACCAAAGAACAAACACTAAAGGTAAACATTTAAATTCCAGATAAGTACCCAGATCAAATACTACTGTAGCTGATGTCAGTTTCTGAAATAGAGCACGGCTTACGCAACATCAAGACAACAAAACACCAAGTCCACAAAGACCAAAACAGCAATAAATTCTGCCTCTGTTGCACACATGACCACAGGCAGCATTGCCTCTGGCACCATTTCCTGGAGAAAAAGAGAAGTAGAACAGCTCTGAGCTCCCTGTGCCAGACCATATGAGCTCATGGGTCAAAACATTCCGAAGCTTGGGCAATAAGACCTGATCCAGAAAGCACTCTGCATGTACTCTTCTGAAAAGAAGAAGTCAGGTTTGGCTTAAAAACCCCAACAAACATGCCCAAACTGAAACAACCAAAGCTACTGTGTATCAATATAAGTGTTCTTGGCAACACAAGTTATACATACACTGCATTCTGGAAATCAGAAGTATATAAAACTATTTATCAYAGTTTTTTCCATGCAAGTTATGCCACTAGACAGCTTTTTAAAAGGGGTGTATCTTAACAGTAGAAATAAAGAACCCATGCACAGACGAGTTGTTGAAAATACATGTACTACATCTGCCTGTAGAGCTTTTGCTATTTGTTGTGGGACAGTATGAGAACAGAAGCTTCAAGGCCAAGTCAGATCTGCAGTTTTTGAGCCAAATGCAGAATTACATCAAATAATCACTCAACTAATCAAGCACTTGGAAATCATTCCATGCTGAATCACTGTGCTACTCAAAACATCCTAAATAAGCACATAGTAGCACGAAAAACATCACCCTTCTAAAAAGCCTATACCAATTTAAAATAAATTTTCATCTCTGCTTCAATGAAGCATCTTCAACCTTAGAAGAAAACAACACAGTCCTGCTTTCATATTACATCATACTAAAAAAACTAAAGCTCTCCAAGTAACAAAACATAATTTTATGGATTTATAACAGTTTAACCATCATATCACATATTATAGTCTTACTAGTCAGGCAGTCATTCTTAGTCTTTCCTGTCTCCCCTCAAATGACCTCCAAATATTACTTTTTTTCTGCTCTGAAACACTAAAGTATAATTAGAAAGACCAACCCTCTTAATTCTAAYAACTCACTTAAAATTCTAACTTTAACCATATTATTTCATTAGAATGTATGGGCAACATACAGTTGTCCAACAACATGCAGTTTTAATAGTTACTGCAAAATGATTACTAAAGTAATTAACTTACTTTATTTAACTAATAATCTATACATTCTACATTGAAACAAATAAGCTTTTGCACATATAAATCCTGCTATTTCTGCATTTTGAGTAAAACGTGCTATTGATATGAACAAGCATTACAAGTTAACAGAACAAACTTCTTTACCCTTTTTTGGCAAGTGTAATTTTTAGTTTCATAGCTTTTCCAGATGTCAAATTTGCTGAATTCAGAAGTACTCCAAGAATACATTGTAGTAGAAAGTTTAATAGCCAAAACACAAAGCTCCTATGGTATTTGCAGTCACTGATGTATTCTGTGCTCCCTGATCCTTCCACAAAGGTGAGACACAAGTGTTTGTGAATTGCATCATAACCTAATCTCACTAAAGCACATGTAGAAGGACAACATGGCACAGACATCACTAAAGTTTCCTGAGCTGCTGGTCAAAGTCAGTTCCAAGAACTTCTACATGCAACAACCTATTTTGGATGTCTGACAAAAGCCGACCCAAACATAAAATCATCTCATCAGTTCTTCCCTAGTCAAAGAGAAAATCTAAAATCTCACAGCTGAAGCAAAGAGCTGTGCCTTGGCCCAGTGTATTTGTCACTCTCTTGTGGGAATGCAGGCCTCGGACAGCACAGATCTGTTTGCTTTGGTGAAGCAAAAAACTCTGGGTGAATAGTTACAATTAGATACAGGAAGGCCAGTTCACAGAGAGCTGCGGCCATGGGAAAATGAAGGAAAGAAATGAGACAGGGAACAGAGGAAGAACAAGCTTTACCCATTCTATATGTTGTATGCAAATAGAGACTGTTAATTGTTTGAATTCTTATAAAATATGAGACTTCTTTAAAATAAACGGCTTTGCATGCAAGAAACCCCTGAGCAAAGTCCGTGTCTCGATCACTAGCACTCTCTYCTTCAGCCTGGTTTCAGATATCCTGTGTTCTCATTTCACAGGTCTCATGCTAAGTAATTATTTAGGTAGGTGATCATTTAGGTTAAAAGTGTAACAAAGCAGCACGTTTTACCAAAGGGAAAGCAAAGGATGAGGGCAAAGCAAACAAAATAAAAGACAGGTATGAAAACTAACACTGGGCAGCCTACTCCTTCCCAAGGCAGCCAAAGAACCTGTATGTTTTCAACCCCAAGCTGGAGTTCTCCACCTAGCAAGCACCAGTGGGACAAAGCAWGGATGAAGGAAAATAAGGGCCACTGGCAACAGTGAGGGTGAGAAAATTCACTTTAAGTGACCAGGRAAGAGGTGTTGCAGCCCAGGTTTACTTTTCCATCACTGCATTTGCAGGGATTTTTGCAATTATGTATTGATTCCAATAGTTTAAAACATGTAGTTAAAAAATGATGCAATAAAATGTCATGAAACTAAAGGYTTGTTAATTCAACTTAAAAGTGCTATGGTTATGTGCGGATTTAAAGCTGAGAAGCAAGGAACAATTGTATCATACAGATAAAAGGAGATGCAAGCTGTAACAGSCAAGGTGTAACAGCTGACTCAATTTGTTACATTCATCTAATGYAACAAAATGCTTAGTGCTAAAAAAAAAATCAAGATGAGAAAACTTCACCTTGACTTGAAGAGATATTTSTTATGAATTATTACATCTGCATGTGGTTATGATGTAAAGTTATAGGTTAAAAAAAGTAATAATAAAAAAATAAAACTTACCTCGTGGAATTCTTCCTGTTCCCTGGCAAGTCGGGCAGGTGACACTGTCCCTTCCAGTAAATTCCACATAGGGAAACTGTGATACATCTCCACATCTGCTGTCTTCATTGTGCACTTCCGAGTGAACTAAWCCATTCCTCACGTTATCAGACACTGAGCTTCCATCATAGCCATCTTCTTTGCATGTATGCATAGGCAGGTGAGAAAGTGATTTTCCCATGTCTAAAACAGAAGTCAGAAATAAGTTTTCAGGGACAATGTTTCAAACACGACTTGCATTTATTCCTGTGCACCAGGTAACTGTTAGTCTATAGCCACAGTCTGACAAGACTCCAGTTCCCCTTTGTTCAGATCCCCTAAGACCTGACTAAGGCCCTGTCAAGCTGGATTCAATTCCAAATCATGAAGAACCTGAATTAACTGGGAGCTCTGTTCAGATTCTCTGATAAGCACAGGTTGAAAGGGGATCAATGAGAGGTTTTAAAGTTAGAACACTGCAAATTCTGGTAAAAGTTGCAACAGCTTTTCAAAGGATTGTTACTGTACAGGCTTTAACATTAACACAATCTTTGTATTAAAAAAAAATAATCAAGACTGGGCCATAAAAAGCAATTTTGGGTAATTCTACACACGTGAAAGACCCAATTTTAGTACATTTTTTAGCTTAGACTTGTTTTGAGAACATAGAATTGGTTATTGATTTCCAAGCCAGAAACATAGATCTCCAGGTAGATCTGTTTAAACTGATGATTCCCTCTAATTCAAAAGAGGACTAATTCACAGGAAAGTCAAGTAAAAATGGGAGTTTCTTTAACAAAGTAGCTGTCAATATTTAGCATTATAAAGATTTGTTAAAAAAGTATTACTCAAGTATTACYCACAAAAGCATTTTTGTTAYCTATGCMTATTTAAATTTTTTCTCATTACTKTAACTTTTCAGTCATGACACTGAAACTACCAAGGAACACAGAACACTTAACACTAAAATCTGTAAAAAAGTGCTGCAAGCAGAAACCTCACCAATTTGCAACATGTGGAAAACAAACTACAAGCTAAAAAAAAATAAACCTCCAGAGCAGCAGCAATCAGTTGTCCAGATTATCCCCATAATCCATTTTAGCTATTTAACACAGATAGCAGTCACTGAATTTATCACAGTTTTGAAGAACTGCATGATATAAAAAGAATATGCAAAACTCTTTTTTTTTTGTCATTAAGAGGTATTTTTAAAGTGGCAGCTAGCAATTATCATGCTGGCTCACTAAAAGGAAGCCCTAAGAGGAAGATTAAAAGAGGAAAATAAGTCAGAATATTTTAAACCAACTAMTTAAACCAGAACAGAAATATTGCAAATATGGTGATGGCAACACAAATGCAACATTAATTATTACATTGCCATAAAGGCTAGGTGAATGTGGGAGAAGTAGATGAATGTGGGAGAGKGAAAGTAAGTCAACAGATACCAACTAGCCCCAGTTACTGCTCCAGCAAACATGCAAGATTATTTTTTTCATTTAGGTCATTAAACCATTACAAGTAGGAAAACTATTTACCCTTCTGCTGCTACAGCACTTTTTAAACTTTCGAAGTTTGGGAGCCATTAAATAAAGGAAATTTTTAAATTGAAAATTAAAACCACTGGGCTACTAAAAAATAAAAACCCTGGTAAAGCTGCTAACAATGTTGACAATTATTCAACATAGGGTTTTTGTTTACTTTTCTCCTTGCAGCTGACCTACAGCCTTCAAGCTATGGAACTTGAGTCTTGCAGCTTGGGCAATAGCTGTCACAATTATAGATCTGAAAGGTTAGGGATCGTGCCGTTCTGCCACCATTACATCTAGCTTAGCTGCCCTACTGACTACAGACTCAGGCTATGTCTACACRAATGGCTACACAGAGACCAGGCTGCAACTCTGTAAAAGAAAGTTATTGAGGATCCAAATCCACAGTGTATATGTTTATTCCATAATAGCTTTTATGCAGACGTACAACACCCACTGACAACTGACACATGCCTTCTACATTTAGCTTTTTCCAAACTGAAAAGTTCACACTTTCCCTCTCTGACACACTGTGTCATGAACCAAAGTGCAGCATGCAGGGATGACTGGGAGCTCCTTTCAAGAGCAAGTCCTTTATTTGAATTAAAGTACTAATGCATGTGCATCCTTCAATGCCAACTGTACCTGAGCTTCAATCATTAGAATTTAATGGTGCCAGACACCTGGGAGACGTGTCTCAGTTTACAAATGAGAGAGAACCACCTTTGAACAAAATTTGATCTGCCAACACACTTTTTCTCCCAGCCAAGCATGAACCTTATTACAGCTCACCACAAATCAAGAACATGTTGCTCTTTTATCCTGGCTGAACAGTTGTAATTCTGACAATATAACATCTCAGTACGTCACAGCTTCTATACTGTCATCAGTCAGTAMTCCTACTTCCAGAACAACTGTGCTTTGATCCAGTCTCCCTTGTAACTCACGTTACACTCCATTCTCCTTGGACTTATCTGGAGTTTCCGTGAATTCAGAGTCTGTTAAAAAGAGTTCGGTAAATTAAAAATGTTGTGACAAGTGTCTTTTGTTTAAGACCGCACCCTTCAGCTTACTATGCACTGCAGCACAATGGTACACAGACAAACCCCAAACAATGCCACAAGACACACGGAACCACCACATCCTGAGCTACATGCAAGACTAGGGGAAAAAGCTTTTTGTTTACAAACTCAGTGAAACTTTATAGAGTCAAGCTACATTATTAATAGTTCTCCAGCAAGTTAGGCTGGTGTTCCTGCCCTTTATATGCTAACATATAAACTTAAGATTACAAATCTACTTATTTTTCAATACAGAAAAATACTTCGAATCGCAACCATCATCTGTCCCWTCAACTGTGCCTTAACTGCGAACATCATAAGCTCCTTCAAAGCAGAGGACGCGGAAAGGTAAGGCAGTGACTTAGYAGCCACAGGCTTGTCCAGCTCGGGTGGGCACGACCAGCGCTGCCTTTCACGATCATTTTACAGACCCACGTCTCGGACACTACTTGAGCACTAAAGCGGGCGCTGCCAAAATAAAGGAGAAAAAAATTCTGGGCCATCAGCGCCAGCTGCTCTCACAAACATGGCGAAGTTTACAGCCGGCAGGCTCGGCCAAGGCCCGGCGAGCTCGGCCGCTTGCGGGGCTGCCCGGGCGGCCCCGGCCCCGCTAGGCCTGGGGTGGTCTCGGCGCGGGAGCCGTCCCGGGGCAGGGCAGGACAAG